TAGTCTGGTTTCGGCCTAAATTTTCAGTAATACGATATAATTTTCTCTTTTTTTTTGGTTAGCTAATTTGATTAGATATTAGATTTTGATAGGATTTTACACGTGCTCGTGTAGAAAAATCTCTCGAAAAGTTGGCAACTCTGCCAGTATGTATAGAACTCACTGGATATTACATTTTTATTGCCATGTTGATCATGAAACGAGAAGTAAAGTAATAATAAATATAAATAAGCAATACATATATAAAATATACAATAAAATATAAAATAAATAATTTTAAATAGCAGCAAATAAGGGTAAAATAAAAAAATATAAATGTTTATATAACCTCTTAATGTTTTACTATCTATTGACATAATATATGATGAGACAAATAATATTAAAAATACTATCAATACTTTCGCAAAATCTGCAAGAATATCTTGAGAATATATCATATACTGTAAAATTTACTAAATATTCCGTGATATTTTGCAAGTGTGCTTTATACTGATTTTTCGAATTCTCACAGAGCTTAGCAAAAATAGCATAGTTTCTAATTCATAATGATAAAAAAAAAAGTTAAATATCGTAAAATATATTAAATTACAGTAATTTAATTGAAGTTCATACTTCTTTACTGACACTTCTATTTTTTTTCATGATCTTCAAGTAAGCTCTGAAAAAATGGGATCTGAGCAAAGTTCTCAAAATAGTAACCAAAATGCTAATAATGAAAAAACAAGAACGAGTCAACTCAGACGTGGTAAAAGTGTTCCAAATCGTGAAAGAATGCCAGAAGATACTCCACCGAGATGTACCAGTCCTGGCGCTAGCATTTGCTCTGATTCTGATCTTCCATATATTTCTTATACAGTAAATCGACCTATTGGAGATTCACCGAAGATGACAAATAAACAGTCACAAATCTATAGAGGAAAGAATATTGGAGCTGGGGAAATCTCAAGGCGGAAAAATAGTCTAGGCGCAACAAATTATAAGTAGGTATTACTGGATTTATATATGAATATATAATATTTTTTTAATGTTTTGAGATATTTCCAATAAAACAAAAAAAATATATATTTACGGAATATTTTTGATACAATCCGAACACACTATAAGATTAAGTGTTTTATCCTGAATCTATCGAGTCTAATAATTTGTTAATCTGCAGCGTAGTTAATTAATAAACCATTTTTTTAAATTGATTTATAACAAGTTTGTAACACTATTATTTTTATAATATTATTTGTAACAACTTTTTAAAATGCTCTCCATTTTGTCGTATGCAACGTGGTTCAATCAATTATGTCATTTGTACTTCGCTGTAGCATCTCTTCATGTTTACAGTTTATTTAAAAATCCAGTAAAAACCGAAGATGAGATGATAACTCAATTACATTTCACAATTTTGTAACTGTAAATGAAGCGATGTTATAGCAAAATACAAATGACACAATTGATTAAACTATGTTATGCATACAACAAAAAATGAAAAGCATTTTGAAAAGTTGTTATAAATAATGTTATAAATAATAGTGTTACAAACTTATTATAAATTAATTTAAAAAATGGTTTATTAATTAAGTATGCTGCAGATTAACAAATTATTAGACTCTATAGATTCAGGATAAAATGCTTAATCTTATAGTGTGTTCCGATTGTGGGTGATCATAAACACTCTGTATATAAAAATAGTATCCTCCAAATTATATCAAATAACAAGTCTCATTTAATTTTTCTTATAAATATATTTTTACATATATTTATACAAAAAAAAGCGTTTATTATATATCAGAATATTTTAATGTAACATAGTACTTCATTATTAGACAATATATACTATATAAAAAAAAATGTTCTAATACAACAATCAAAATTTTCAAAATACCATACTTTATATGTAACAACACTGTCATATAGAATTTTATTAGTTTGCTCTCTTTCCATGTTGAAAGTCACAAAAAGATTAATATATCAGACAAGACGCACAATATCGTAGTGGTGAAGCCAGCTCAAATAGATCCTACAGCAGACAAAGATCCTGATATAGTAAAACTACAAAATATCCCAATGTTTCTACCAATTATGCGTGGCACATTAAATCTACCACCTGGTGTACGCGATCCAGAAGTCCTCGAGAGGCTTGATCCTGTTGGTCTATTCAATTTATGTGCACGTTACCAACATCATCTAAATACAAATGCGCAGATTATAGCAGCAGAACAAATTACTCTATGTGCTAGTATGGAAACAGAATTTGGCAAGGTATTAAATCTCGCTGTGGATCGACAAAAGAAATTCGCTAAATTTACAGAACAGATAAATAAAGTGTATGAGCTTAGCCGTCAGCTAACTAGATGTCACTCGCTTCTTAATCAAACCCTTGAAAGTCTCGAAACGCTCAACAATCTATTACCAATTGAAGAGAGACTTGAGCCCTTTGTCTGGACTACAGGTTAAATATATCCAAACGATAAAAACATTTTATTACTTTTTTAAATAAAAACCTGGATTCTCTATAAAATATTTATATGCTACCACAAAGAAATTGCGAGTAAGATGCAAGCTTTGAGATACTATCTAATTTAAGTTTTAAATTAATTTCATTATGAGTTTTAACTTCTACATTCAACATAATCATAACATAAAAAAATAAGGATAGATCAGTAAAATAAATTAAAAGAAAAAGTCAAATATATGTGCTTTATTCAAACACAATTTATTGCTTTTGTAATTTTGAACATACCCTAGTAGTTTCTAATCGCTCAGACTTAAATTGTTTGTAGGCTACAATAACTTCACATTGTTCTCTAGTTTTCTTTTTTCTGTTTCAGGTAAGTTTTTCTTTTCAAATCGATTACTTCACTTTGGAAGTAAAAAAAACTTTCTTTAGAACCTTCTAATAACGAATTCAATAAATTTTTTGGCTTTCTAACTTCATTAATTTTATTTGACTTAATTTCTAACCTAGGAGATTCATAGACTACTTCGTCAAAAACAATCTTGTCTTGCAACCTCTCAAATTCATCAAAGCTTTTACCAAGTTTCTTTTCTTTCTTTGCACATATTTTCAGTCTTCGTTTTTCAGTTTTTGACAAAGTTGCAGAGCTTTCAAGTATCTTTTTTCTATTAATATTATTATGCTTAATTTTTAATGTTTTTACAGCATCTTTATGTTTGTATTTTGTTAGATCTTGAATTTCACTAGTATTTGAATCCCGTTCAATCTGAATACCATTTTTTTTTTCAAATGCTTTCTTCAAAAAATTATGTGTCTTTAGATATCCTGTGCATAAATTGTTTACTAGATTCGTCTGGTTAGTGTTGAAGTACTGATGTAACTCTATTTTGCTCTTGGATAATTTAGTTTGTACAGCCCTATACAGATAAGAGTATTCTTTTTCTTCTTTTTCCAAGATTTTTCCAAGTATTGATCTTCATAGCTTCTTTTAATTTAATTATACGTTCCAGACTTTTTGGCATTACTTGCTCGTCTACATTTCTCGATGTTGTATTTGTACACAATTCTAACCTAAAATCCGTGATTTAAAATAATCATCTAAATCTAATATTTTATTGCATAAGCACCAACTTTACTGATAACTTACTCCGCTAAATATTTAAAGCGCTGTTTGTCTTTAATATCCCGATGCTTTTTCCCTGGTATTTTGCGACCTATATTCAAGTTTCATTGATTTTTTACGTAATCAGCTATTCTTCTTCTTTGTTGGTTATGCTTCCGTGTGTAAAACAAAGAGATTATATACATAGGGTACATTCGTCTACGCAGTGGTTAATGGTATATCCACACAACTTGCATAGCCGCATAATATATACATAAAGAAAATTATCCAATCGCATTTTTCTTACAAAGTTGCACGTAAAATGTGATTGGAGAATTTTCTCTATGCATACGTTTATGCAAGTTGTGGATATACTCTAAAAAGTGCCGTCTCATGAGCGGAAATTTACAGCGGAACGGAACAGCGCGACCAATCACAACTCCACAGTTATTATTCTGTCTTACATCTCAGGGTTCGATCGGCGGGTGGCCGGGATCCGAACAAATCTGGAATTATCGGTGGGTGTAAGGTTTACAATTTCGCGTCGGGAGCGCGGAATCAAAATTTGTCCAATTTAAAAGTTTAAGTTAGCTAGATTTGCGCGCTCGACACAATAGTCGATTCCGTGGAGGTCTAAGGTGTATTCCCCGTCCTGTCTAGGTAACCGAGAAACTCCCCAAAAATTTCAGGGTAATTGCAACAACTTGTGAAATTACGTACGGTGGCCAACGACACGGAACAGTCATTGCAGATCTCGAATCGTTCGGGAAACCCTAAATAGATATAATGTCTCTAAGATAATTCTCCTTCTCATCGACCAATACCTCAAGATAATTATCCTTATCGACAGGTAAAGAGGTGTAGCACTCTGGACATTTAGTCTCGCCGTTTTCTACTTGACAAAAGAATAATGAAAATACGCAACATGCGCTATATATCCACATGGTGTAAGAGTCGGTTTCCAACGGACGGGTGTCGGTAGGCGGGCGCGAACACGAATACACCGGATACATATTACGCGCAAGCAGGATTCACAGTCTGCGATGACCGAAATGTGATGAAGTGAAAATATCTTACCTTTACGATGAGGTCTCCGTCAGTGGTTGCGGCACGCGGTTGGTTGGTGTGCGTGAAGCTCAGCTTCCAACTGTCCTGGACTTGACGTCGGGTTCGTCCGCGTCGATTAGTAGCTCTCATATGCACAATAGTCTAAGTTTGCTAATTAGGTCGTCACTGGTATAAATTAAACATGGGAAAGTAGTTAAGAAGGGATTTATTGAGATAGTTCACTCAGATTCAGCTAAAGTGTTTATTAATTATAATTCACAGAATTATTTAGATTTAGAATTACTTAGATTTAGAATTTGAATTAGATTTAAACTTACTTAGATTTAGAATTTGAATTAGATTTGGTTTTAAAAGAGATTAAAACGACTTCATGAATTACGGCTAGTTTGAATTACTTTCATACGCGGTGCGCAAAATTGGGGCAACGATTCGCCGACGGAAGAAGACTTAGAAAATTTCCGTCCGAGGGCACTTGACGCTAAGACGCTACTTCAGTTACTGACTGTTCTTCTGCCTTTTATGCCCCGAGGGCGTCTTTTTGAAGAAAAAGAGAGGGATCCCGTTCCGTCGGAATGCCCTGTTAGGATGCATGTAGTGGGGAGACATCAGGTCCTGGCGATCTCGTGTACCGCGCCAATCTATAAGTGATAAAATGTTCGTGGGTTTGTCCAAGGGTGATTTGAACAAGTTTTAAAAATGCGGACCTGACATCTGCTTTCTTTTTTGTGATTGTGATTGGTCTCGTTGTTCCGTTCCGCTGTAAATTTCCGTTCATGGGACGGCACCCATCCCATAATGGCACAAATCCACTGCTTTCTCAACCATTATATAGTACTGGACGGAGCATTAGCATCGAAACCATCTTTGCAGGCATAAAAAGAGATAGAGTGACTACGGGGATAGGACAAGTGAGTATGTCACCTAACCTAATCCGTGAGACTACTCGGACATGTGCCTCTTTTCATTTCAGGTATTTTGTGTTATCTTGATTATTTAAAAACCGTTTTTATACAAAATAAATGCGTTTTTAATAAATATAAAAGTTATTATATATTATAATTTTATATTATATTATATTTTTATATATTTATATCAAAATCGTATTTATTAAATGCGTTTTTATATAAAATGAATCTGAAATACTTTTTTCGACACAGTACCACCTTCTGAGGTGAGGCAAATCGAGCGTGCTCTTAATTGATCAATGGAGTATGTTCTAACGCAAACATCTTATCGCCATATTGGTTTCGGTGACGCGACGTATTGGAGCATGTTGGACATGTTGGAGCGTGCGACGCGAACAAATCTAAGGTAGTACGATTGGGGCATGATTACGCAAGTATGCGTAATGGTTGAAAACATATTGTATCGAAAAAAGTATTTCAGATTCATTTTGTTTAAAAACGCATTTAATAAGTGCGTTTTTGATCTTAAAAAATCTTAAAAAACTGTAATAAACTTATTGCGGCCGAGGCAATATTTTTCGCAATAAGTTTATTACAGTTTTTTAAGATTTGGGTGAATTTGGGGAGATTATCAGAATGATTGTGTGAATCCGATGATTTATCGGCTCTCAATTAATTCTGAAATATTAATTCAATTTAATTGAATGTATATTGGATAGTAGTAGTTCAACATCTTAACACTAGGACCGGGAAGGCGCTAGGTATTTAAAGTGTGGCTGTATGCTCTTTTTCATTTAATCTTTGTAACATAAATAAAATTAGAAAAATTAAAAAATAAAATAAAATAATATTAATACGATAAAATATAATATAATATAATATAAAAATATAATATAGCATTTATATTTATTAAAAATGCATTTATTTTGTATAAAAACGCTTTTCAAATAATCAAAATATCACAAAATACCTGAAATGAAACAAAGCACATGTCCGACCCGTTCGTGTGGTCTCATGGATTAGGTTAGGTGACATACTCACTTGTCCTAAATCCGTTTGTGTCACTGAACATTGGAGCACATGAATGCAATTACTCCAACCGCCAACTTACCTGTGGTCCAAGTGTTCTCTGGGTTAATTTGGAGCATGCGACACGAATAAACTTTATATGTTGTATTGATGTTCTCAACTGCTAGTCACATGACTTAAATTTATCGAATGGAATGAATTTACCTCTGCATGAATAGCTGCTCGGTATCGTATTGGATCGTATCTTGCAATAGAAAACCGGACGAAGCTGAGAACTGTAAGAAATAAGCGACAATACGAGAAAAATATCAAGGCGCTCCGAGATTTGAACCGAGGATCAGGCTGACTTACTTATTTGTTTATATATAATAAATTCGCACATGATTTCTAGCATGACTTGTATTACTCTCTAACTCTAATATTGTATTATTTAATATTATTTAATTATTCATTATTTAATTTGTATTTTTATATAAATAAGAAATAATAAAAATCAAATAACCTTAGTAAGCTTTGCAAAACATCATCTCTGAGGAAAATTTTGATATAAAGTGTTATATGTCGTAATGTGTAGTAATATATTTCGAGTAAAATTTTTTAAAGAACATTTTGGAATATAGTCCTAAACAATACTAATGCTTCTTTCTCAAATATAAATTACAAATAAGGAAAATTACATATATAATATATGATGTATAATATTATCTTAATATATTATATTATATAAATATATATAAATTACATATTATATAAATTACTTTAATAAGATTAATTAAATAAAACAAAAAATTTATTTACTTTATATTCATTTGCTTAATAGGTTATGATACAGCGATTTTTATTATTTTAGTTGTTGTTAGTAAGTCCAAATGTGTCAGTACGACGTTTTCGTCACTTAAGGGAGAGTCACGTTAGAGTTAATGATTATTACCACGAATTAACGATGAGTATCATTATATATTTATCGGTAGGCGTGTAAAGACAGTTACAAATTACAGAATCGCGCCCCTGCTCCTCCGAATTGGTAGACTTCCGTCCTAACACTAAGTCCTGACAGTAGTATTGTGTGTATGTGTACACTCACTGGACTAAGTGGTGCGTACAGGTGTAACAGATTTTTTCTACGATTTTCGGAATGTGCAACCTACTCACCGATCGATTGATTCTTATTTGTGGATCTATGAATAAGAACCAATTGCTCGGTGAGCAAGCTACATTCTGAAATCCATCAAAAAAAAGGTGTTGCAACCTTTCTGTGACCGGTTGTATATATGTACCACAATGGAAGGGATTGACATGATGTGCTCAGTTTGGACAAATCACGTCCCTTCTGCGAGTAGAAGTATCATTCATAAATCCAGGCCTGCCAATTGCGAAGAAATAAGTGCTGTTGCAATAACTGATCTCTATGCATCTTTGTCAGATCCCGCTATGTATCCTTTTCTCTCTTTGTTTCGAAACGTAGAGCAACTGGGAGCAACATCAACTGTTAAGTAAGTATCAAACGTAATTTTAAGATAAAATTATTAGAAAGTGACTAAACGATTACAAAATATAAATAATAAAGAGCATACAGCCACAACAATAGATGTAAACGCAAGTTATATATTTAAAATTCACAAATAAATAAATAAGTAGACGTTTCGGTTAAGATTTGACCATCATCAGTACACAAAAAAAAGATGACGAAAAATAAAAATCTTACAAACTAGAAACAATTAACAGTAGTCGGAAGATGTTAGAGTAAAATTAAATTAGAATTACATAAAAATGATTGAAAAGAAAATACATAAATATACAAGCGCAATGTTCGCAAATTAAAATAGGTGAATAATATTTTCCCTTCGCTTGTGCTAGGAGTTGAAAGCTATGAATATAAATCAAGAGAGATGAGTAATATTTGAATCTTCTGATATAATGCTCTGTTACAATTCTTGTTATCTTAAAGAGCGAAGAGTAACCTCGTGTAAAAATACGGAATTTCCCAGTTCTATTAAACAAAAAAAAATTTTTATTTTTTATTTCCTCTTCATACTAATACCAACACTTCCAAAATCAAATAACAGCGGTGTAAAGACTCTTTATGTATAAACAAAATAAACAAAATAAATGGCGAAAAAGAGTCGTCGTATAATATATATAATTAAAGATAATAGTCAAAGATACATAAAATAAAATAAAAAGTATGTACAACGGCGTATAATAAAATATGAAAACAAACAAGTTTTGGCTGCTGGATTGAGCCCTCCTCAGATGTAAAAAGAATATAATATAAAAGACATAAAAGAACATAAAAGAATACAACAGAAGAAAAAAAAAATTAATAATAAATCGATAACATTCAGTGACGCAACATTTTTTAACGCGCGGAAATCAGCTGGTCGAGAGGCTGAGGGATGTGCACTTTACGGGGACACATGAGTTGACGTCTTTGGACGTTACCTCTCTGTTCAAGAACGTGCCAACGGAGGTGGCGATCGATTGCGTCAACGAACATTGGCCGGCGGTTTCTGGAGATTGCTCTCTACCTAAGAGAGAATTTTTGGGAGCGATACGGTTTGTCCTGGACTCTTCGTTTTTTGTCTTTGACAATGTTTTTTACAGGCAGAGCTTTGGCACCCCCATGGACTCTCCAGTATCACCGGTGATTGCGGACCTAGTGTTGAGGAGATTGAAGACGGTGTCCTTGATGTCTGTAAATTTGGACATTCTGTTCTATTATAGATACGTTGACGACATATGTACTGCGTTGCCCCCCCTCTCAGATCGACGTGTTATTAGAGAGATTTAATGCATTCCATCCGCGCCTACAGTTTACCGTAGAGAGAGGCGGAAAAACGATCAATTTCTTGGACGTCACTGTGTCCGTCAACAATAATCGCTTTAATTTCGATTGGTACAGTAAGCCAACGTTTTCAGGTAGATTTTTAAACTTCCACTCTAATCATCCATTGACGCAGAAGAAAGGAACTATCTTTTCATTAGTCGACAGAGCCTTTTTATTATCGGACGTTAAGTTTCACACAAAAAATTTGACCGCCATCATTGACATTTTACTTCTGAATGACTATCCACTAGACTTTATCTTTGACTCCATCAATCATA